TATCCGGAACCCAGAATTTTTTTGTGGCCCGGATAGCCGAATAGAGCTTACTCAAACTTCGTGTATAAGGGTTATCTTAAGGGCCGGGCATACTTCAAGCGATTTTAATCGCGACGCTATTTGGCAATATTCCAGGTGTCCATAACTCATTGTAAGCACATTATAAATGTACGGAAGATAGGGGATTTCATCAGTTTACGTAAGTTATACACACTATGCATGTGCAGTTTGCTAATGTTGGATCCGAAGACTTTTGGCTAATTGCCAAATCGCGTCGCGACTGAAATCGCGTGAAGTATGCCCGGCAATTTACATGGTGATTAGATATCACACTTTCTCCACAGAACGTCTTCCAGTGTGGTTACGATAGGTGTACGATAGGAAGTCAAAATCGTGAATTCGGCTGGAGCTCGGTCCATATGGCTTATTCGACATGCTAATTACGATTATCATCTCTCTCTTTCTTTCTGCATATTGGGGCCTTTTCATAGTGATGTGGTGGTTATATGGCATGGGGTCGAAAACAAAGATTTGCTTTAAACTTCGTCTAGGGTGGTCATTTAGCGCGCTGAACATGAATATCATGCTGATTTCGCAGGATAGTGCATTTTCTTGGGTTACGGTGGGTGTAGATGGGTCGAAGTTCCAGATTTGCTCAAAACCTTACCTGTAACGATTCCCAAGTATATCGCTTATGAATATGACGCTTGCTCGCTGTCATAACGCAATAGTGAAGTTGTGGTGAGTTGCAGGGTTTGAATGGACATTTTTTCGCTTTCGGGCCAATTTAGATCCCAGATATTCAAGAGATGGGAAACGTCGTTTTTGCATGGCGGTCTCCAGCGCCATCCTGATAATTTGTCCCAACGCGTAACGCACGCGACAAATTTCCCTCTCCCTGTTTTTGCTTAGGCAAAAGCCGCCGAAGGGTGTATCGCGCGAGGCAGTGGTCCTATAAGGGAAAGCATTACGGTCGTGGGAAACTTTTATACCACACGAATTGCCTTTATCGTCGGGATTGAGCATGATATTCTTGAAACGGCACTTTAGTAATTTTCCGCCAAGGTTTCAAGCAGGTTTTTGATTTTTACCCGCTGCCATGCGAAATGACTACGATATTCGTCATCAGCGGCTTGAATAATCCCCATATATCGAGTTTGAGCAAGATCCACCTCAAAAACATTTTAGGGCTCGGATAGCCAAATAACGCCATCAGTTTTTAGAATTATCCTTGCTTTTATCGATTTTATTGTTTTTTTTTCAAAGTTTGAGCTGCGGGGCTGGGGGGTTGTTGGGGAAGGTAGGTGAGCATACTGATTACTCACACAGCGGGAATAGGGAATTGCATGTAGAAGTGTGCACAGGTAAAAGTGTTCAGGGATAGAAATGAAACCTTTATCGTTTTTGACAGGGCCGGGCGGAGCCGGGTAAGCCAGCTAGTGAAAAATTAATATTCAACTGTCAACTATTATTCGAAATCTCGTATTTTCAAATATTCGAATCAATCGCATTCGAATTATTTATTCGAATGATAATTATTCGATTCGATCTAAATTATGCTAGGCATAGCCTCGCGCCTCTCTCGGGACATCTTACAGGGAAGAACAAAGAAGAACAAATGCGGTCATTGAAAGCAGTGTCCGAGCAAGAGGTCGATTTTGAGGTTTTGCGTTTGCCTGGGACTTTCCGCTATGCTAAATCTAAATCCACATGGAGAGCACGAAAACGGCAAAAAGAGACATTAAGGCAGGAGGGTAATAGCAGGTGGTCAGAGCTTTCCACTTGTGAAGTCACTTGCCCAGCTTCAGAAGCGATCATCTCGCTTGCCAGTCGCTCTAAGACCGCCACCAGAAAAGTGCGACGCGTGCTTTGAAATTGGAACCGAGAGCGCTTCTGAGGCTGGGAGAGTGACTTCTCTGGGTGGAACACCCCGCCAACCTGCCGATCCCTTCTCTCGTAGAGCCCTTTTCACTACTTCTGCGCTCTCAGATGTATTTTCGGATTCAACATAGCCTGAAGGTCCAGGTAAGCACAAAATCTCAAATTTGACTTCTTGCCCAGCGCCTTTGAGCGAGGACTGCGTTATAAGTTCAGAAAAATTGCTCTTTCAGATTTCAACGCACTTCATCGTCCGCCACATCGCGATAAGGTGTAGAATTGAAAAGAACTGTCCGTTTTCTTTTTTTTATTTAGTTTCAGTTCGTTTTGTCTTCAAACCAATAACTGCGGAACTCCTTCAGCTGTTTCAGTTTTTTTGTTTTGTTTCACGGATTTTGCCATGATATAATTTCTGATTGTCATTGCACTGTGGCCTCTGGCCTAGATTGCAAGTTCAGATTAGTAGCCCTTCGCTGAGGCTGACTTGCGCTTCAGCTTACTAGGACAAGTGCCTACGGCGGTGAGAAGACCTCCACGATGGCGAAACATATATAAACAAAGATCATTTTGATTACTTAGCAACATACATGTTGTCAAATAATGCCTTTTACGCTCCTTATTTTTTCTTTTATTCTTCTAATGAGGGTCAGGTGAGTTTCATTGAAAAAAATGTTTCAATTTGTATTTTATGGTTCTTTTGGGGTCAGAGCACAGATTGGACATAGTGAGGAGCCCGCAGAAGCTCAGCAATCGCCGAACACAAGGCCAGTCAGGAGCTAAAAATTTGGGGGACACATAACGCAAGAACGCAAGACGACGAGCCTTGAGGACTCCTTTCGTAGAAGGAGATCATTCGGCCTAGCCATGTCTGAATCTAGCCTATTTCGAAAACACTGGCTGGAAGGAGTTTTCTGGCCATGTGGTGTGAGCATATGGTGCGGGCAGCACATCACAAATCTTCAAGTATTAGGCTCACGGGCTGAATGTTACAGTAATATTTCACTTATGAGCAATTTCGCAAGTTATGCTGCGGAACGAAATCTCCTAGATATGCTGAACATACTACGTACTCGTGCGTGTCCTCCAGGCATTTACCGCCACATTGGTCGGCTTAAGTGCTGGATTGACCCAACATCTGATGCAAAAATTTAGATCACTGATCACACAGGGAGATTGCGACTGAGGAGAGAAGAGGAAAATTGCCATGTCAGAATTCTAAAATCTTCAAAGCCACTTCGTAATTAGAGCCGCAGAAGCCGTAAAATGGCTTGCTTCACAAGCTTGCTTCACATCGATCAAAAAGTCTATTTCAAAACTGTGTATGAAATTGTATTTACTTAGATGGCTACTTTGCTACTGTATACGAAACTTTGTTTATTTAATTGACGTGACTAGGCGTCGCGTTGAACAACGGTTGGATAAAGATTTTTACTCCTGTACCGTCGTTCATGGGAAAATAAAAGAACTATGAAATCACACACTAAAAAAGAAAATGGCAAGTTTTTTCTCGAAGTTACACCGTATCACGGTGCGACGGATAATGCCGCACGTTAGAATCTAAGGCCTGTGGCAGAGTTCACGCGATTTGATCGTCGCGAGTGTTACGAGTTTATTGCATGCCACTCTTCTTGCTTTTCGGTTGTCACGATTAGTCGTGTTGGAAAACTATCACAGCCGAAATGCAAGAAAATCAGCATGCAATGATATTGTTACAGTTGTCATGTAGCGATTGAATCGACGATCAAATCGCGTGAACTCTGCCCAAGGCCTAAAAGAGCTATTTTTTCCAAGTGTTCTAATGTAACTTTTTATAAAAGTCTCGATATCGCGGCACGTCGCGATGCGACAAAGCTGGACGAGGCAGCTTTCGCGCGATTGCCTCATGGTACGTACCGGTGCAAAATGGATGTGGAATACCGCAAGCCAGCTCGACATCCATGGCGATTGTGGCGGCGAGGGCCTAGTATAACGCACATTCTCTAGAAAGGTTTGAAATCTGCTCTATGAGGCGCATCTACTAGGAACGGGTGAAAATTAGGTTCAGAATTCGTTGTGGTAGAGAAAGTGCTTCACTCTTTTTGTGGAAAATATTTTATGAAGGTCTTCTCACCGCCGTAGGCATTTGTCCTAGTAAGTTAAGGCGACAGGTCAGGTTCGCCGGAGGGTTTCTAATCTCAACTTGCTATCTAACCCACAGGTCACAGCTTGCAATGACAATCTATGACCTATTAATAACGGACTAAGGGTTGTTTACGTTTGTTTGTCTGTTTGTCTGTGTGTACGCCTGTCTTCACGAAATTCATAGAGCGAGTTCCAGCCAACCTACTGATCCCAAATTTTGAACAGCGCATGCTACCAACATGAAAGCCCACTATAGAAATACACGAGCAGGTCACTTGAGTGGATCCCTCAAAAAAAAGCTCGTCAACTAATAATGACAAAAACAAACGTGAAACAAAATCAAAAAGAAGAAAGGAGTCTTTTGTTCTTATCTGAAAAACAGGAAGAATAGAAGAATAGGAAAGAGAACGGACAAGTTCCTTTAATTCCACACCTTATCGCGGTGAGACTGGAGATGCTGCTCTCAAAATTTGAAAGAGCAATTTTTCTGAGCGTTTTCATGTAACTTTATACAAAACGCGACTCGACGAAGTTGACGAGGCTGCGTTCAGGCGGATTGCCTCATGACTTACGCCCATCGGTGCAAAATGGATACGGGATACCGCGCGCGTCGGCTATGGCGGCGAGGGCCTTGTGGTATAACGACACCCGTCAATCTTTGTTCTGCATCTCAATCTTTTCCAAGCAAAACTACAGATTTCGTTCTCTCCTGCTTTCTTCAAATTTCGCCGACAAGTTTTTTGCGTTCTTGCCAAATCCGTTCAGTGCATTCCGCCTTGTCTCTCGATGGTTATCCGCGGGTACAAGCGGCGAGGCTCTGCTTCCACTTCTTTGCAATATGCAGACCGTATGTTTTGTTGTCTGCAGCAGCCGGCCTGTCATAAGCGCTGCAGGCTTTTTTTCATTGTGCACAACTAGACGGCCTCTGCTTGTCCTGGTTAAAAGAAAGATATTTAATATTTAGGCTCCGCTCATAACCGACTTCCACTGTCTTTTTATAGGTAAACACCCTTCTTTTAACCAGTATCAACTTAATCGAATGTAGCAAAGAGCCGCCACCACAACAGTAAGTATTTTTCGTTCTTGCCGACAGGACATTATTAGGTTGGCAACTAAGGCCCGTATGCACGTACATCCCCGCGGAGAGGGGAGGGGATCTGAGAGGGGAAGCGCCGTATCTCGCTACTCTAGATATCTTTCTTCCTTCTTCTCTATCTTGCTTATGAAGGTTCTCATACCCTTATACCTGCGCATAATGGATGCCAGGTTACTGCTATGCAAGATTAAATATTCACTGTTTCTTCCGATCCCCTGGGGATCCCCAAGGGATCACCTCACATTTTCAAAGTCCTTTATATTCCCGAAAAATCAATGGAAACGCTGCAAAATTATACTGAAGATATGGTACGATATTGCTGAGCATGTTTTCGACAGAAGAAATGGAATCTGAAGATTTTGATTTTTTTGATAATCCCTGGCTCGCGAGCAGCGGTTCATCGAAGATTGATATCCTGAGATTTCATTCATTCCTACCATAAACATGTTTAGCAGTGCTGTAGTATATCCCCAGTACAATTTTAGACCATTTTCATTGAGTTTTTAGAAAGATAAATTACTTTGAAAATGTGAGGTGATCCCCTGGGGATTTCCAGGGGATCAGACGAGACAGTGAATATCTAATTTTGTATGGCAGTAACCTGGCATCCGTTATGCTCAGGTAACAGTGTATGAGAACTTTCAAAAGCAAGACAGAGAAAGAAGAAGAAAGATATATAGACTAGCGAGATATGACGCTTCCCCTCTCAGATCCCCTCCCCTCCCTGCGGGGATGTACGTGCATACGGGCCTAAGTAATGCAAAGTTTTTCCATAAGTTTCTTTTTGGATGTAACGCACGCATACTCGGTAATCATACGGATTAGAATGAACTGCAATTGCAGCTATTGTTTTTGATTCGCAGTCGTGAACGTTACGGCAGCTTTACGGTAAGGGGAGCATAGCTACAGACTGCAGCCAATGCTGCTGAAATATGTTTTAAGAGAGTTTGACATGGTACAGGGCTTATATCAATTGCAGATTCGAGTGCACCAGCACCTCCGCTCCCGCGCGGTTCCGAAAGGGGCCTAGAATCCAGGCGAGGCAACCACGAGGGATTGGACTGGTGCACATGACTCTGCAATTGATAAGCCCTATAAAGAGGGTGATACTCATTTAGCACGACAGGGTCTTTCTCGTAAGGTTATGATGAGTTTACAATATGTTTTACCTTGGCACAAATGAATATGGTAGTCGTGTTTAGCAGCTCAGATCACTGCAAGATGCGAAACCCCGCAATTTTCAGGATTGCGCTTCTTAGCCACTGACAGCTATCCGCCAGCGATGACAGCAGTGATATTTGTCAGCTTCTCGAGGGCACCAGATCTAGATCTTTCTCCAACTTCCATTTTTTAGTGAGCTTAGTGGCTCGAATTCCAGCAGCACGTCTACGCGGCACATACTCCTTCGATTAGGTTGTGCACAATTGCATTAGACTCTCTAAGTTCTCACCACTTTACATAAAAAGCATTTTTTTCTATCTTGTGTTGAACTTAAGCAGTTTGTAGTCAGGGTCGAGCAAGAGGTGTGGCACATAACCACCGGATACGACCCCATCCGTAAGTTCTGTTTTGATATCCCCCCCCCTCCGCTTATCGTTCGCTTCCGGTGAGCATGACATCGAGGCTTAAGTATAATTAATAACACATCCGTGATCATCATATCATGTAACCCGTCAGGACTAAGTTCTATGACTTCTGAGAGTTTCCAATATTGAGTCATCAAGTAAAGCGGTCATTTTTAAACATGGTCAACTGTATATCTAAATTGAATTGGCTGCCTTTATTTGCACTCAATACAAAGCACTGATTCCCTGGTCGCCCTTATGATGAATTCTGCTTCTATAGGCTGTGTTCATACTGATCCCAAAGTTCGGGAACAGTTCCAGCACAGCGCTTAGTTCGAGCACTGTGCTGAAACTGTTCCCGAACTCTCAGATCAGTATGAACGCAACCATAACCATCAAACTATGGAATTACAAGCCCGCCAAAGTCTCGTTTGTTCATCTTTCGCTTACGGTGCTTGTCCTTCCGCAACTATTGCTCAAACGAAAGAAGACGAATCCAGCTCTAATCACTTGTAGAGAGAACAGCTAAACTTTTCTCCTTTATACACCAGGAATTTCATTCAAAAAGTTTCTTTCAGAGAAAGATATAGTTGTTTATCCTTATCCATGCAATGTAAGATACTGCGAAAATACTGGATTACAGTAATATGCTAAGTCTGCGCTACTATGCGAATCGCGAAGAAAGGCGACAAGAATAATTTGGTAGTCTTAGCTTCTTCTTCTTCATAAGTGATTTGAGCCTGATTAGTTTTCTTTAATCTGAGATAATGAAAGCGAAATATGGAACAAACTAGATTTTGGCTTGCTCCCAATTCCATAGTTTGGAGGTTATTTGGAGCAGGATTCCCTTGTGTGCAAAGAAGCAGTAGTTTTCTGTACTAATGGTAAGTGCAAAAAGATAGTCGAATCACCTTTGAAACAAAGTCAAGATGTTCGAAAGTGATCATCTCGCTCAAGTGGTTCAATATTTAGAAGCCTCAAAATTCGCTGAAATCTTTATGCGATTAGCATGACAAATAAATTGTGGATTTATTTGTCATGCTAATCTCGAAAATGATGTTCTTATGCTTTAGGGCTCTTTTGTCATGCTTACTGTACGTATACGATGGTAGACCAAAACATTAAAGTGCTAGATGATGAGCCTATCTAGCGTTTCAAATATCATGTTATCGTCAACAGTATTACCTCGATAGAAAACCCCTCCCGCACCTGACCCTCACAAAACGACCCTCCCTTTCTCCCAGGTGTGGCGTGCTACGCTCCACGCTTGGCTGTTTGTAGCTCATACCGTAGTTTACACAGTGCCAAAGATGAGTGCGCTACTCTCAAGGAGAGGAAGCTTAATAATTTTCAGCTATAGGGCCTTCATTGAATCGTGACAAGAAACTGCGACCTTTGCGCGCATCCATCGTAGAGTCGCCGACCGCACTCTCTGTTCCCAGATTGCGGAGCACGTACGACGCGGCTGAAATATACGAGAGCTCGACTTATGCAAGAGCGATTTGGACTCGTACAAACGTTTTGCCGCGCGGCGCGTGCTCAGCAGTCTACGACCACTCCGTGCGGTCAACGACTCGACGGTAAGTGTTACAAGAAACTGAACCACTCAAAGCAAAGGTAGCATTTCAGCATACTTATCTTGAGTTTTTAGAAGCTATCACGTAAAGACAAAAAGTGCTTTGAGATAAGATACAAGCCAGGAAAATGCAGTACGAAATCGTAAAACGTGAAAATCGCGACCATGCGTTCACTGCTGTCACGATTTTGTGGTCGTAACACAAAATGCAGCTCGTCCTTCAACATATATTTAGAGCCAGAAAGGACAAACCAAAACCAAAACCTTTACCTCCTCCGCCGCCGAACATCGAACTGGCTGGAAGCGGAGCAAAGGATGATCATACATTAAAGTAAGTTGAATTGGATGGGTTTGCTCAAAAGATATAGCCTAGAATAGAGCAGTCTTGTGCGACATTGTAGAGCTTTCTTTTCTGAAGAAAGTCTTGCGTGATGTAAGATCCTAGGCTTTCTGATGGAAGCTCTGTCTGAACTATATAAATCTGCTAAGAAAGTCTACAGCTGATCACGCCATTATACCAAATCATTCAGGACTGACAATTTTGAGCTGTATTTTAACCACCAATGCTACCTTTTGAGGGCCGAGCGATAAAATCGTTGCGAATTCCAATCATCGCGATCGGCTAGAAACTACCGACGAAAGCGCTCGACGGAATCGTTGATTGCTCGGACATGGGCATACCACTGCAGCGATTTGTGCATTCTCACCATCCAGCACACTTTCTACGAATCCTAGATGGTCTCATCAGACGATCTTTCACCCGCGCATTGATACAAAGGCCACAAAGTAAATGAAGGCAAAGCTTTCAGTTATCACTTCGGTATAAACTGTGCGAATGATGGGACTTACACGCTTTCTGACTGGTGTATACATACTCTATGATTCAACCGGATTGGCGGCTGGAAGGCGGGGCTTTGTGACGGAATTAAGGCGAGAGAACGATCAGAGAGCACTTTCGCGAGAGAGAAGCAGACTGCGTGCGGGCGCGAATGGTCGCCTGCAGCCGCCAATCTCTTTTAAATCAAAGGATATTTCTGACTGATTACCTTCCCTGCAAGTAGGTGAAGTTTTATATTGTCAACGGTTTCGATGTGATCTAATGATCGAATCATTATATCAAACCGAATTGATCGTCTAGTCGGGCCATCAACCAAAAAAAACAAGATTGACTAAGTTCGGATAGGTACAAAAGCGTTCCACAGAAAACCATTGCACTCTGACAACATGGACTAGTTTCCAATCTCCTGACGAAACAGTTTGTGAAAGTAAAGAACAATCATACAACCAACAAATCCCAATCCTAGCGACAGTACTCCAAACGAGTGACGTGAACTCGCTGAGATAAGCGAAAATCCAAACGACCAGATGGGGGCTAGCAACGGTCATGCGTCGCGCCGCATAACTAGCACGGAAGAGGTGCATGATAGAGATGCATGCATTCGACGTGTAACACTTATCTTTCCGCAGATTCGCGAAGCGATGAATCGCTGCCCGGTATGCCCCGCCCTTTTGAGTAAACTACGCTCAGATGTTTCAGAGATGTTGCGTCTCTTTCACCTGATGAAGACAGTATAAAGAATAAGAAAAAACCTTCAGGCTCACGGGAATGAATGTTTTAGCAATTTCGTAGAATTATATTCATGAAGGAAATAAACGATTTTGATAGATTTGTGCATGCTTACCAATTTAACAGCTCTGATTTGTTTATTTTTTGTTGAAAAGGATAGAAGTTATTGAGTATGAGAGATCTTGGAAGTTAAAGTCAATTATGTTTGGAAATGACCACTCATGGTGGCACAACATTTGAAAGCTCAGAATTCGCTAAAATTTTTATACCACAGGGGTTCTTTGACACACTAATTACGAACTGACTCATTATGTTTGGTAGGGCCTCATATTAGGCCCGACGACAGGTAGACGATATTGCTGAGGGCCTTATGAGATGCTCAGAGGGGAGGGAGGAGGAGAAGGAGGGGGGGGGGGAGGTCGTATCCGGCGGTCGTCGCACCACACTTCCTGCTCGACCCTGGCTATGACCCCGTGACATTCAGCTCAGGTGTTGACTACCCCTGCACCATAAGTTCTCTACCCTTTTGAAAAGCTAAACTGTTGGAATGCGGCGTTTCACGCTGATTGGTGATTGACTATCTGCTCTGGTTATTGTAAAAATTTGCACACATGCTTTTCGGTCTTTTGACATAGAAGAATGCGGCATGCAGAATGCGGTTGGCGTAGTTACAGAGGGTTCAAAAGGTGCTAATACGTTAATCTTTGATCGAAGTCGACCAGAACGTTACAAGGAATTGAAGATGGAGGAAGGCTCTGAGAGGGTCAGAGAGTGATCGGTGAAGTCATGGAGGATTTGATTCTCGAGATTCTGGTGCCAATGCTTGCTTAGCCTTGAAGTGTGACCTAATTTGCGAGTCTCTCTCATATGGATTGTACTGGTCGAAGTTTTAAAGGTAGTTTTATTTTTGAATAAATTAGGCAAGAGCTTTCTCAAGACGGCTTGGACAGGCCAGCACAATGCTTTATAGGCCGTGTTAGTTATGTGGATGCTTATGTCATGGGCAGTATCCAGTCGAACCCTGATTACCTGGATTTTTTTTGTGAAACCAAAAATAGAAGGCGTTATAATTGCCTACGCAGCAACTCTTGTACTTGCGAGCGAAAAAAATCGCGTCACCTTTCACCCTCCACTCCTTTTGAGCGGAACACCATCAGCTTTTTGAGTCAAATCATGTATATAAAAGTCAAAGTTTGTGCAAATCTTGACCGTATGTTTTTTTATAGACTTCTTTGCGCGTGAACCGATTGAGCTGAAACTTTGCACACATAGTTTTCGACTCCGTAATGGTTTTAGGCTACTTTTTGAAGCGATTTGCTGGATCATTGTATTGATTTATTGATTTTTGGCACTTTGCAATGAAAATGAAGCTCATCAGCCATTATCAAACCCCATGCACATTTTGGTGTAAACAATGCAATAAAGTTCATTTTCAATCTGAAGTGTAGAAGATACAGTTACTCCAATCAGTCACACTGAGGTAAGCTCAGGCAGGAGGGTAAGGGGAAGGGGCCTTTAGTGCAGTATCGATGCAAAAAAGGGTATGACCGAATCGAAAAAAGGAGGGAGGGGAGACAAAGTGTAGTTTGGCCATCCTCCTAAACGGTGACCCGGGGTGGACCGGGAAAACCAGCTAGTGCTGAATAAAGCAGCGGTTTGTACGAGAGTTGTTAGTTGACATGGTAACGAATAGAACCTCCCTATTAAGATAAGGAAAAGGATTCGGTGTCTTCAATACCCTCTGTGGGCAACGCCGAACACACTCTACTTCATAGTCGAAGAGGCAATTGTATGCGTGCGAGCCTATTATAGTGACTTGCGGGGCCAGCCGTTTACCAAGTCAGTGCTTTTATCCTCCCAGATTACTCTGGTACCTATTTACGGCCCCGGAGGATAGAGGGCTTGGTTGGCCCAGGGGCGGGATCGAACCTGTGTCCGATCTGGTCAAGCGGTGCATCATACTACTACGCCACTCGTCCTCATCATCCTTATTAGTTTTTCAAATTCTAACGCTTGGTGTCTTTATGTGCGCACTTGACATCTTGCAAGATACCACCCAGCAATACGTCTGATGTGCAGCATGTCTCCTTTTGTGTCGCCTGTTTGACAATCAATATTTCAATCATGTTACTGTTAACACGAAAATTCTTGTGTACAAGTGCCCTATCACTTTCTCCGTCGTATATTTAAAATAGTCCATATTGTAAACTTGAAGTATGTACAATGCCGTAAAGGATGTCTTCCGTCTGTCCGCGAATTAGCTTCAAAAAAAAAAACTTCAAAAATGACCGCGAAATAAAAATTTAAATAGCGTTGAAGCTTCAAAAGTTCTAACGGTTTCACACTTCAGCTTCGCTCACCACAAATCCTCTCAGAACGTCTTATTGCGAAACAAACTCCGTTACAATCCGCCAATCATTGGCTATGCATAACAAAAATTATCGCAATTATGAAAAAATTTTCTAGCATGAAAACCGCCAAACATCTTTTTTGAAGCCCTACTTCGGGAAATCACTTGATTCGGATTCGTAGAACAGCACAAACTTTGTTCATAATCAGTGATAGTTGATGGCGGCGTACTAACGAACTGTTTTTTTTCGCAAAAAAGTCTAAAACTTTTGAAATACTCTGAAACTTTTTGAAATGGCAAAAATGCTTTTTTTGAAAATTGTTATTCTCTGCTGCTGTAAAGTGAGAAAATTTTTCAAGTATTTAGCATGGAATGTAGTGGGCACGATCTTGCTATATAGAGAGCGAAATTTTCCCGGTCACATTGCGCTTACGATCTTTAACACTTTGGGACCTGGCGGTGGCAATTGCCACCACCAATTTTGAAGGACTGAACATCGCCGCGACACATGTTTCTAGCACTCCCAGTTACAGTATCTTTGGATGGCGTATTGTTTTCTAACTTCGCATCCATTCGCTTTTTTGTTGGTTCCGCGCTCAGCATCAGAAGCAATTGTGTGCGAAGCAACATTGTATAGCGCTCGAATTTGATAGGTTAGTGCCAATTTTTTTTCTAGAACATCGTGTTTTTAATTATATCAGATGGCGCCCCCGGTCCCGCTCGGGAATTGGGCAACTTAATCCCAAACGCATTGAAACTTACCGCCCTCCATATAGCCACGAAATGGTGACGTCTTCCTTGCTGACTTGAAACACCGGACCTTGTGGCCAAAAATGTAAACGTACATCACCGCCCAACTTACATGACTGTGGGGAAATGATTCAACAATGGTCGGTGAACCCTCGACGTAAGCAAACAAATCAATAAATCAGGAGGGGCCCAGTGAATCGTCGCAAAAAGTAGCCTATCTTCTGCGCCTGGCCTTATTTATAGGGAAGCAAATTTCAGCCTCATCGGTTCACAAACAAAGGAGTCTATAAGCCACATACCTACATACGAACAAATTTACAGAGATTGAGTTCAATTTATCATAACTTATAATAACGAGCTAAGGATGTTTACGTTTTTTTGTGTGTGTGTCTGTCTGTCCGTTACGAAATTCGTAGAGCGTGTTTCAGCCAACGTCCTGAGCCCAAATTTTGCACAGCGCATGCTACCAGCATGAAAGCCCACCATGCAAAAGCATGAGCGGATCCGTTGAGTGGATCTGTTGAAAATTGCGTGTCAAACGGATCCACCTGGCATCTGGCCAGCAAAATTGGGTCCGTAGTACTACATTTTTGAGAGTCATGGATATAATTGGCAAGTCAATGTACAAGCCATGGATGTTAGCCTAAAAAAGTGACCAAAAGTCTACTACTTTACGGAAACGGCGCCAATAAGAATTGGCTGTGTAAACGGTCAATTTTTCAAGATTTTAGTGATCATTCGTGGAGATTCTTGCACAGAAATGTAGCCCACGACCATTATTGCCCTTATGACAACTATCAAGCTATAAAAGTTTCAAAAAATAAACTAAAATTTGCGTTTGTTCTTCTGCGAGAAGTCTCATCCACACAAAATTACCGAGCTCTCACGAAAAAACTTTTGGAATGAGTAGTTGTTTACGATTCTTTCGTGATAGTCATCATTGCGCGGTGAGTTTCATTGCCATCATTATATGAGAGTGAGAATATAGATAGCAAAACAAGTGCGAGCCTCTGCGAAGCAGAGGTGACGCACTGGTGACTTATAATAACGGGCTAAGGGTGTTTACGTGTTTTTGTGTGTCTGTCTGTCTGTAAATTCACAAAACGAGTCGCATAGAAGGTTTTAAGCCGCAACGTTTTGCACAGCACACACTGCCGCCATCCGGATTCACCATGCCAAAGCACGAGCAGATCCGCTAAGTAGGTCCCTCAAAAATGGTACCCCAAACGGATCCACTCAACGTCTGGCGTGCAATATTGGGTCCGTATTACCACTTATTGCGAAGTCGTGATTATGTTCGGCAAGTGAATGTGTGAGCCATGATCTTTAGCCCAAAAATAGTGATGGAAGTCAATTACCTCACGAAAACGGCGCCAAAACAAATTGTTTGCGTAGGATCAATTTGCCAGGTTTTTATCTAAGCATTTGAGAAGATTTTTGCACAGGGATGTAGCTCACCATTGATATTATCCTTATGGCGACCACTAAGCCATAAAATAATCCAAAAGTGTTCTAATTCTGTTTATTATTATGTTGTTTATCTTCCGAAGTTTCATCCACGCAAAATACCGATCTCACATAAAAAGCTTTCGGTATGAGTAGTTGTTTACGATTCATTCGTGAAGGCGGGCATTGCGCGGTATGTTTCAATGCTATATTATGCGGGAATGAGTATGGCATATAGATAGAAGAGCCAGTGCGAGCCTCTGCGAAGCAGAGGTGACGCACTGGTATATAAATATATAGATCATATTGTGACGGCTGAGTATGAAGTTCGAAAAATAATTGCGGCTGTTTGTGAGTCCACATGTGTAAACTCTTTCCCATAACCTTCAAATTGCCATACGCAGTTGCCACTAGTGGGCTTTAGTGGAACTTTAATGAAAGGTTTTTTTATTTAGAAGACGAACCGCCAATGAGCTTCGAGAAGAATCCAGCTGGTATATATCAGCAGATTATTTTGAGAGAAGCTGCGGTCTCACCATTGGCGAAGATGATATCGACGAAGAGTTCGGAAAAATTGAAGAAAGTGATGAAAAAGAGCACGAAGATGAGAACAGGAGATTTATCTGATGCTAGTTGGCATACCCGGCTCCGCCGGCCCTGTCAATACACTTTGGTGATTGCCATTTCCAATTTTTTGCACATTTCGGCCCCTGTCCTCACTTTTAATTATGTTTTTGTAATCAGCATGTCCGCTAAGCCCCTGGTACCCCCCCCCAACCTATAGCTCAATCTTAGCAAAAAATCGATAAAATCGATAAAGGTGGCCGACGATTCATACAACTAATCCTGCATACGTAATCAGCATGCTCAATTACCCCTTGTGCTGCCAACTCCCAGTCCCGTTGCTCAAAGTTTGCAAAATATCAAAAAATCGATAAAAGTAATGGATAGTTATAGAAACTAATGTTTTATTCGTAATCACCATGCTCAATTATCCCCCCCCCACCCTGGGACATCTCCCAGTCCCGTAATTCAAAGTTTCCAAAACAACGAAAAGAGCCTGACATCAGCCCCGCGCCGAAGTTTATTTATTTATTTATTTATTTATTTATTTATTTATTTATTTATTTATTTATATAACTACATTACACAATAGTAATGTGCCATACTAAAAAAGAAACTAATAATTGGAAAAGGAGAGTGAGGGAGAGTGAGGTATTAGGTTGTAACAGAATTAATGCAGGTTTTTCGCTCACCTTTTTCAAAATGCTGGTTTAATAAGGGAAAGTGTTTTTTCAGAAAGTTTAGCATATCATTTGAAATCACTTTTCTTCTAGTTTCTTATGCATTTTTTCTTTTCTGTAGAAGTGAATTTGTCTAAAAGTTCTGAGCCCATGAATTTGAGAAACCAAATCTCGAAATTCTTTCTTTTAGTGTACCTGGCTCTAGAACCACCAAAAACAATCGGGATTCTTTGCAAATTTACACAGTACTTTTGAGTCTATGTTACAAAATGCACGTTGAATCACAAATTCTGAAAACATGTGAGCCGAGAAATTCTCGAGCAAAATTAAACGGTCGCTGTGGTCCGTCTGCCCTACATGAAAATTCTCAGCGCGAAGCGACTGCGGGGCTTCCGCTTTATATAGGAAGGATAGATTTTAGACATTCATGGCTGAGAAAATTGAGAGCCGTTCTCCCTTTTCAGCTTTGAAAAAATTCAAAAGTTTCAGAAAAGCGATTTTTCAAATTCTCAGAAAAGTCGAAAAAATGAGTACTTTCAAAACTTTTTCAAATATCCTCTCGCAAAGATTCTTTTTTCAATTCCGATAGTGCCGCTGCACAACCGACCATAGGCTGCACAGTGAGTTATATGTGCGCTACCTTACTATATATGATAGTAAGTTATGGTTTCTCAAAGTGAAGGTTTTCCGAAAAAATTCTTGGCAGAATTCGAGCTATAACATTTTTCTCAGTGAAGCTACAACAACACAATGATGCATACTGAGTTGAAAAAGATTTGCTGATTACAACATTTCTTGTTGCACACGTAAAGACTATTTGTGTAAAAGGTTATAATGATTCAAACACAAAATTCAGAAAACCTGCATTAATTCTGTTACAACCTAATATAAAAAATGTGTATAGCATCGAGGGAACTCTAAGCTTTAGTTTCATACCATTAAGCTTTTGTGTACACTCTAACGGTAGTGACATGTGTATGCATTCTACACATTGTAGAGAGCTCTAATCACATGTACATTGATCTGCATGAGTGGCATTTTTGCTCTCAACAACAGAGTAGATGAAGTACTCGAAGTGATCAACCATTTCCGAGTGGTAGCAGCTTATCCAATGGCCCATTTATTGATCCATCCATCCAGCAGTCCATCGGTCCACCATACATTTTACATACATACATACATACATACATTGTTTCTTTCCTTCATTCCTCTTTGTTGAGAAATGGAAATGCAGATCAATATAAAGACAAGAGCTGTCAACAATGCGTTTTTGTAGCAGATTACATTGAATGAAGTATTGAGATTCGTTTATAGTTTGATGGAGCTTATAAATTGAGCAATTAAACGTCTTGGGCAGGAGGAAGGAGATATGGTATGAAACGAAAGTTCAGAATTCGAAAAAAAAAATCATTTTACAAGCAACGATCTTCATCAGTTATAGAAAGGATAACATCGTAAGATGTAAACGATCTACTAGCCAATGATTACATTTGGATATAGATTGTAGTAGCAAGTGGAAGAGCTAGAGTGATACTAAAGGCGAAAATAAATATCGTTATTGAGGTTTGTTCGAAAGAGCAATGCATAGCTACAATCATCCATGCTTCTGTCAGTGACTAAGTAAACGCATTCAGTAAGTTTCTGAAAGCAAAAGAAATAGAGAATTGAAGGAAAATGAAAGGTAGTGACTTCCTTTGTAATTTGTTGGGGAAGTTTCTCTTCTTTTTTTTTATCTGTCATGCATCAAGTATTTTGAGAGTTCTAGTTCATGTCTGTAATACTGAGTAAGTCAAGTTTTTTACATTTTTCTTCAAAGATTTCACTATTTATTGCAGCTATAGTGTCTTTGGGAAGCCGTTGAAACCATCTTGCTGTCCTGTAAAACAAATTATTGAACATCTGTTGATGATTTCTACGTCGAATCTTGGGATAATGTAAATTGAAAGCCCCCGATCTGTCACTTGTAGGGATAAATGTCCAGTACTTACTCGCTTTTAGCTTGTTCTCTTTTCTTAAAACTTGAAAGCAAAAAGTAAGGTCAAATAAAACACGGAAACTGAGTTTTTTCAAATGAAATTTCTGAAGGCGATCTTCGTAACTGGGTGGTGGCTTATGTGTGCAATCGTAGTAACTGTGAAAGAAGAGACAGACAAAAAAAAGTAAGAATTATTCTATCTTTAACATCTTGCTTTCTAAATCAAATGTAAGCGACTCCTAAAACTGAACAGAGCAAGTTGTATTGTGGTCTGACACGCACAGGAGGATGGTAGCATAATGACTCGGACGATAATGAGCTTCATTTTTTGCTGCTTTGCTGCTAAGCGGCTACTCGCTCTGCTTCCACTGCTTGAAGCTGATTTCGGATACAACAGGACATCTTCTTTGGAGATATTTCTTTCTCACCAAGTAGGTGAATGTTTACATCGTTTATAACGGACGCTTAAATTTTCTCAATACCTTCTGACAATGCAACAATTCTTGCCCAATCTCATGAGTCTCGATCCTAGCATTGTTCAAACTATACAGCTAATAAAGGAAGTATTGATTGTAATTGTAAATGGAGCATTCCTTTGCACAAAACACTCATTACGGTAAACTCATGATTACTTGCGCGTATTAAACTCGATCGCAGCATAAAATACAATGCTCATGGACATAGCATCACTTACATCAAGAACACTTTTCACTGCACTTCACCAACACAGGTTCAAAATGAGAAATGCCGGTGATGTTTACATATTTCTGTAGAGTTGTTTTGATAACAAATGATATGAGCTCATTACCATTGCAAGCTAAAAATCAATAAATGGATAGAGGACCCAGCGAATTTTGGTAAAAAGCATCCAAACCGTCTCTGGGGTCGAAAACAACTGTATGCAAAAGTTTCAGCCCAATCGGTTGAGCGGCGCGCGTTTCTATAACTCACAACCCTCCAAACAGACATTTTTTGAGTTTTATATATAGAGACTGCGAATGAAACAAAACGAGGAAGACCGATGTCCAGCTCTTCCAATACTATGAATGCACCTACCCTAAAATTACAGGTAAGTCCGCCTTTTTGACAAGAAAAATCGATGAAAATACACCCTCGCACGTCAAGAAATCTTGCGGATAAGTCCTCCCATTAGATAAGTTTGCTTACAAATAAGTGCGGACTTACCTGACAAGATTTGAGGGTTGTTATAATGGAAAGAAGGGACTTACCTGAAGGGCCTTTAACTGAGTCAAAAGCGGACCTACCTGAAGGCGGACTTATCTGTAGACGGACTTATCTGATGGGAGTACTTATCTGTGGGATTTTAGGGTACTACCGTTCCAGCAAAACGCTTGAATTCCAAATCGAGACCTCTTAGTGAAAATAGATACGATACATGGCGATGGTAACGACGACGCCTACCTTCACGAACTAAAATCTTGTAAAGGACGTTTGCTAGTTCAGTTCAAGAAATGTAAGGTTCCTTTGCCTGGCATCGAAATTGCTCCAGAACTTCCACTGTGGATAAGTAAGGTGTAATAAAAGCTGTTCCACTAAAGCTTGTTGGTGGCAAATGCCACCATTCTCAAATTTTTACTGTACGGTCGAAAACTTTCCAAACTTAGCTGAAGTGTTTTTAAGTGCCTATAAATACGAGTAATGAGATTAAAAGAATTCTTTCTTACGGGGAAAAAGTCAGGTCTGAAAGGGTTAAGCGGCTTATAAGCATTTGAGCTTGGATCAGGCGTGCCCGCCCTGGAGGGTCGTATTGGAGGGAAGGGGGCGTAATCTAAAACCTTTTCAAAAAGCAAATACTCGATCGAGGAAGGTGAAGAAGAACAGCACTAGATTGATGAATATCACAACTCCCCAGAGAAGGAATGACTGTTGTGAACAACATATTGGTAACTCCACTAATGAAGTCTCAACCAAATTGCAGTTTTTCAACTCTTCCTTACTTAGCTAACAGGGTCATGCTCAGCCCTTCAAAAGGTCAGGCTAGGCTTTAGGGTTTATGTTGGAAAAATCTAAACATAGTCATAATGTCATTTTGAGCTGATGAGACGATAGGCAGAAAGCATTTATTCTCAAGGGCAACGCGATAGGAGAGAGATGAATTAAGAATGAATATCGTATGGAAAATACTACTGATCAGTCGAAAGCTCTCATCAAACCAAGCGAACATAGCACACCACTCTGAAAGTTTTTCCATCTGTAGCACATTCGAATGAGCATCCAATGCCTTGGGCTCCTCTGAGATAATCTCGCAACTGGAATACTGAGATTTTTATGGCTCCTTTCTTTTGTGAGTATGGTGAGCATGCTGGTGCTTACATTATACAAAAGGTTAGCATTTGTTGATTTTTGCATAAATCTTTCAGCAATTGCAGCTGCGCTTTTGAGGGAGATGAGCCGGTGCGGGCGACACAATCTATAAGGATAATGTTAACTCTTTTGTGTAAAGAACAAGCCAACCATGCCATGATTTCTTACCCTTTCAATGTAAATACGATGGCTTTGATTTTTTCCCGATCCGTCACCGTTCCACGTGACACGGTAGCGTCTGCTATTCTTGCAAGTTCGCATTCGTATTTCTAAAAGATGATTCTACAGCCGTTCAGAAGATTGCCTTGATAGTTCTGTGAGTAAGCTTTCTCCGATCGATGCGGCAATTTGGAATGCTTGGAGAAGTGTCCCATATTGAAGTATATTGACATATTAGAGTCTAGCGCTATCTAGGTGTGGTGGGATTACTGGACTCATATCCACGAAAGTCCATAATGGAGGAAAATGGACTTACTTAGTCCATTTTATTCGTTCGCGTTAAAAAGTGGTCGAAATCGGCTCCCGCTTACGATATCCAAAATTTTTCATCCCATCGCAACCGCGAGGCAAAGCGGTGAAATGAAAATGATTCAAGCTTACTTGAGCTATCGCTCGCGGAAGATGACGTCAAAAGTCCATTTTAGAATGGGGCAAAAGGAGTTCACCTCCATGTTCATTCTCTCTCACCTTTCTGATAAGCCCATTTTACTCCCAGCAGCCAGATGTGCTGGGACTAAGCCCATTTTTGACATTCTTGCATATTTTTGATTGCGATTTTTTAAGAACGGAGAAAGTTTTATCTTCTTTAGGAAGGCCAAAAAACTATCTTCTCCAAACAGCCTTGAAATGCTTTGAAAATCATAGAAAAATTTTTTTCGTAGACAGTTGAGACAGACAGACAGACAGACACAAGGACGGCAATTCAAAATTCGCGATTTTGAGTTTGGTAGCAAGGAGTACTGAAGTACCGCTAGCAAGTCAGACTATTCTGTGAAAAATTTCTTACTAGCTGTAGTCTATACATTAGTCACTTCTTGTTCTCATATGGAAATATAAAAAAAAATCGCGATTTACCAAATTAAACAAGTCATTTTATAGAGAAAATCTTCTCGATACGTCATTTTGTCACCGAAAACACTTTTCAATACCCAAAACGTCGAAGCGAACTCTGTTATATTTTCGAATATAGAGCATCACATTAGGGTTGAGAAAAAGAGGTTTATGCGAGAGCTTTTCCAACAACCGGTTAATTTGAATTCTGTTCAAAATCTATAATAAGGTTGCCAATAGCAAAAGCCATTGGTTCAAGCATTCCCTGTATGCTGAGACGGATATAAGTCCGCTTTGCTTCAGTTGTTCGTAACACTTCCCCTAAGCAACTTTGATCATCAAAAGCACATATGACTTGGGATCAGAGTATATGCCTAGATAAGTTCTAAACGCCAAAGTTTGCTTTCTGCTGGAAACTCCACATACGAATTTGATTCAATGCAGATTCATAGGTTTTGAAGAGCGAATGCCCTGATATTACTTGGATTTTAGATGGACTGAAACTAATCTAGATGCATAGTCATAGTCAATAAATGGCATTCTATGAAGTGTAATGAAATGGAAAAGAACGGAGTATCCACGTGACTGATATAGTAAAGTTAGATCAGTCTGGATATCGACCACTTGGTGGGAATGAGTTTGCAAGAGTGAGTAAACAGGTTGAGGCAAGTTGAAGAAAGGTTTGCTGAAGCATTTTTGTATGGAATGAATGGATTCGCGAACGCGATATCTTATCGCACCGCAGGGACTAAGCCCATTTTATTCGCGTTTCATTCGCGAAGCCCATTTTTAAATGAACTTTCGTGGATATCATTCCTGGTTATCTCACTATCTTTCCGGTCCTTTCCGGCTGCATGCTATTACCGTGCCCTGATAAAACTGTCCTCGTATTGGCGCGCACAACCCCCATAGGCGCGCGCTCGACGATTCCGTTCAGGGTCCGGCTTGGTTCCTAGGTATTTTTGAAAACGAAGTCCCCCCTGTCTTTCGACAATTTACGAAGTCCCTTTGACTCTTATCGAAAACCTATCAACTTGGGAGAAGATGGAAACATAAAAGACTACTAGTCTGAAAAAAAAAGTGAAATGAGTGAAAATTGAAAGCGCTGGAGCACTTTTCGCATGACATTAGAGCAGGTCCATCGTGTAATAACCTGTCTTTAAAGCTTGCGCTTGACTGAGTGGTCGCCTTTGATACTACAGAAGTGTGCTGGGTTGTCTTGCACTCTGTATGTGCAGTTTTCCTAAACATGCTTCGCTAGTAATGCATGTACACATTTTTTCTGGGGCTCCGCCCTGGACCCCGCAAAAACGATACCCCTTTGCTTTTTGTCCCAAAAACGAGGTCCAGCCTGCTTCCAGGCAATCTCTGCCAGGCCCTGATTCCGTTTATCTCTTCCGCGCGAGACCACCAAGACCGCCTTTGCACCGTGCATGCCATCAAATTTTCGTGCCAAGCTCTTCCGACTTCATGTAAGCTCTCGTCCAAGCTTCCCTTCTGGAAAGAGCGTGAACGCCCACAACGGTCGCTTCGCCCGATTGGGAACTCGGATTCGGGGGCTCGGGTTAACCAAATCCGTTTTGTGGCCTCATGGTACTTGCTCCTGTCATCAAAAATCATGCAAAGTGAGGAAGCAGTTTTCGAGCAAGCATACTGCAAAAGTAGATATCTTGAGCAAAAGAAATCTCAGAAATCAGCCAAAAGTACAAGCTGCACACTCAAAACTGTGCTGATCAGGTTTAACGAGTACGCGAAGAAAAAACAAATAATTCATTTTGATTTTTGAAATTGCAGTTTTTAGACATTCAGGGGTTGGAACTCACTTTTTGGTCGAATGAAACAAAAAGATTGTTGGAAGCCTTTTGCAGAGAGAACAGTGTGACTGCTGTCTAAGTGTCCATGGCTTTCAAATGTGTTTCGATAACAAAACGACCACGCACTCAAAAATCTCTTTCGTCTTTCAAAGATGTAATTTTTGGCAAAGATTACGATGTACAGCACAACGGGGGTCGGCGTGAGGTGGCTTTTTTAATTTTCCAAAAACAAAGTCCCCATAGACTTCGTCACAAGATGCGACATTACCTATGACGCGAACATGAATGGATCCAAATGAATAACGAAAATCAACAAAATATAACAACAACATTGGACAGACAAAAAAGCTAATGTTCATGTTCTCCAAATTGCTGCTATGTCCGGCGAGCACCCTTGCGCGCTTGGAGCAGGTTTGCCGCCGCCATACAAAATATTCGGAGGGCTACAACTAAGCGAGGAGGAGGGGGTTAGGGTGATTCAAAAAATTTTGTAAGGTTTTTAAAAAGCTATGTTATTTGGAAATATTATGTGAAGGAAGGGAAATTCATGAGTTTTCTTTTCACAGTCACGTCTGTCTGTCCAGGTGGCTGGAAAGCGACCTCACTCCGAAAATAGTTTGCCACGCCTTCAGTTCACATAATTTTCTCGCAATTTTTAGTACATAGTGTCCTAACTCTCTGTTGCCCATTTACGCACCAATTCTGGTGTCATTTGGTTTCACTTTGCTGTAAACAATTGTTTTGTGTTTCGGGGCAGGTTTGAATTCGGGCGCTTAACAGGCGATCCTGTTGGAACAGGAATTTTCCGATTTTTGCAGGAATGGGATCGATAAGGCAAAAAGGACAATTTGCGTCCTCCATAAAGATGAAAGGTGACATAAAGGGAGAAGGCGATTGTGTGTGGTGTGTGTGTGGTGGGGGGGGGGGGGGGAAGGAGACTGAGGTTCCGCTTAGACATATCCCTTTGCTTTTTATTCCAAAAAGATATCCAGTTTGCCCCGTAAGCCTCCTGTGCAGAGCCATGGAGCACAAAATCTTCCTACACTAAGAACATGAAACTGTTAGTCAATGTTCGAAGTATTTTCAGTTACGGAGTGCATTGCATAAATCGATGAAATTTTCTTTTTCATGCTTTTCAAAGTACTATTAGGTCATGACCTGTAAATAGCTCGTTGGGCACTCGCAGATGAAGAAATGAATGGCGCACCTTGCGCATGGAATAAAAAGGGAAAAATCGCTGCACAGAATTTCGAATGTAATTCTAAACAAGGGAGGACCCAAAGTCGAAATTTGCCTTCCAGATGAAATATATACCTATCCGAAAAGCATCAGACACTAATTTCAAAACTGTCTTTGGTTTTTGCTAAACCCCTCTAGACGCTGAGTTAGGAGTGATTTTTGGAGCGAAAAATAATAGGAAATTCTAGATAAAACCTATGGTTATGGTTTTTCCAGCGCTCCAATACAGAAGTGTTGATACGAGTATGAGATAAAAGGTTTTCATGCACAGAGTGCTCTAACACCCGACGCTGGGCCATTTGCGCAATTTTGGACGAAATTCGTTTCGGTTGCGCGTTCATTTTTTTTTGAGCCAAAAGCGCTCATAACTCAGCGTCTACAGGCGCTTTGGCAGTTAACAGGAAAGCAGATTTAGACTTCGATTCCTCACCTTGTAAGTCAGAAAAGTAAAATTTTCTGCTATGCTGACTACAAAAGCGACAGCGAAGTTATCTCCCATGGTTCCTCTACAGCAGCTTATGGTAGATCTACGGCAAAAGATCAAAATTTCGAAAGATGAATTATTAATGTCGGATATACACTGTGCTGTAAAACTCCTAGCGCCTTTCCTCTTCACCGCAATCGAACGTAGCATTCCTCATGTTTTTTTTTGTTCTGCTGTGACATTCGGCTCTCGATAACCCAGACCCCATCCTCAAAACCAAATCATCAATCCAGGAGCGTTTTGCCTCGCGCTTGATCTTCATTGCTAAATTTTTGCTGAAACTGACCCAATTCTTGGTTTTGAAGTAGTGCAGAGCGAGTCGTTCCGTTTCATTGACCACGATCAAATTCGCGTCCTTATATTTTGATTTGCACTTCTTTTGTGCAAAAGCTGTAGCAAAAAATACCTGAATTTCTTATACTGAGCAACAGCTGAATATAGTTGACTTGTAGGACTTACAGGAAGAAAAACCAAAAGCAGTTGCATCACATTCAGGTCAATGTGATAATCCGACTCTTATCTACAGGATGTTTCATGAAAAGAACCAACTGTTCGATTGTTGATGGCAATCTTGTCCCACTCCACTTTGGACCTTAAATTGAGAAGCTGGCCGAAACTTGATTTACAGAGTAGAAAACCTTAATCGATTCCTTGTCATTACTGTATTATTTCGATAGACACACCATCTTCGCGCCGTGATGAATTAAAGGCACTGTCCACCATAGAGGGTTTTGAGCTTTTGGCAGCAAATGATCATAGAGCCTTCTATCAAGCCAATGCCCAATTCGCGGTGCAAAATGTGGCATCGGAAGCAAGAAAATCGCTAAGGAAAAAAGAAGATGCACGAGGACCCCCAGACGGCACCGCCCTCCCCATTCATGCCCGCCCATTTGTGCCCGCCCATCCAATCACCGTTTCGGAAAGTCGGCCTGTGTGTTTCTTGTTCTCCATAACGGGATTGTCGAGGTTTTTAGCGGATTCTCAACTTCATATTTGGATTCAGGACCTGAAAAGGCAAACGACAAAAACCTGGAAGTCGAGAATCTAGGTGGACGGTGCTTGTGGGTGCCGTCTGCGGGCCATCTTTTTGGGAAAATTTATGAGCATTTTTTTTTTGAAATTTGTGAACCCTCAATTGGCATAGATCAGCAAAAAACTGTACATACAGACTTAGTGGATTTGTAATGATTCCTCCTATCTCGAATAGTTATACTACTATTCAAATTACGCCCTTTTAGGCCAACTTTTGATACTGAGATTCCCACACGTTCATGATTTGCACGCTTAAAGGCAAATCTGGACAAATACTGTTCACTTGCCGAAGCCTCACTCCAAATTATTTGAATTCCTCGTTGCAATATCTCTTGGCTGAGCTGTTATATCAGCGCAGTGCAGAAATAATTCCGCTTTCTAAGCTCTTTTTCCTGACAGCATTTTTCCATCAAGATTTCTTTTTCGATACAGATTTCGCACATTTTGGAAGTTTTCTTCATGCCTTTTCGGTAGTAATTCATTTAGGCATCTGTGCTCATTATACTTGGGGAAATTCGAAATTTCATCGAATGATTGAATATCGAATAAATTCGAAAATTTAAAACCTCGAATAAACGATTATTGTACAAGTTCGAAAATATTTCTAATGGACGAGTATCGGATTGAAATTGGATTAATCCGAAAATTCAAGATTTTGAATTAGTCAACACGAACAGAACTGAAAATCAAAAATATCCAACGGATGAATATCGATTATGTGCGAGCGTTGAGAGTCGACTTTTGAATTACAATTTGAATGATTTATCGAATGTTTAGAACAACGATATTCACGAAACGGACATAACAATTCCAGTACACAAACTTTGACCATGAGGCTCATTTCGATGGCTGTTTTTTTTTCTGATTTGATGCAGTAGGGACCATCTGATTGATCGCAAAGGCAATCAAGCAAAAATCACATCTATTTATTAACTGTCGCAAGCAGCTGGAGGAATATGACTTTCTTTACAGTCCAAAGCTGATCAGGGCTTTCAAAAATGCATTTTTGGGTTTTACAGAGAAAACGCAGACAGCGAGCTTGGTAGCTCAGTAGTTGATTCGAGTACGAATTTAATTCAAACACGAATTCGACTATAACATTCAATTGAAACATTCGAATAAAATCAATTCGCAGCCCCGTTTTTTGATCGCTCAAGTTTTCGAACTTTATGCGAAACTCTGTTTTTTTTTTGATTATTTGAGTTTTCGAGTCGAGTTTTTACTTGATTCGGACCCAAGTATAGTACTTATCTGTTAGAATTTCGCAGCATTTTACACACCCCGCGCTCAAGTCAATATTTCTTTGCTTCCAATTTCTTGGCCGCCCCAGGCAAATAGACAAATTCCTCTGAAAATACAACTAGTGTGTGGAAGAGACATTGTTTACTTATTGCATGCTTGAACATATTTTTCGAAACTATTCGGCTAGGAAACGCTTCAAAATAGATACTCGCTGCTGGGATCCAATAAATCAAACATTTCCTTTGAATAAGGCAATCGCCAAAGTTATGTTCTCTTTGGGCCGTAAGATTAGGGCATCTGTCTACCCTTCAAGAAAAACTTAACTGCAGGGTGCATGAAGAATCGCATTCACAGTTTGGGAATTTTAGACCTACCACATTAGGCTCAAAAAATGGACAATTTTCGATTTTTACCTTTTTCTTCTCCTTGGTTCTCCACTCTTGGTTGGCAGAACTCCTTGGTTCAAGTCCTTTCAACTGCAGGTTCACTATTGGCTTGTGGCTACAAAACAAGCGGATTAGCAGCCATAACATCAATTCTTGAAGGGAGCTGCAATTTTTCAAAACGAGATTCTCATCAGAAAATTTCGGCTTATGCACGGAAATCTTCCCGTTCTGGATATCGATAGGAGCAAGTGCGCGCTAAGTTGAGAGAGTTTTACTGCTTTTGATGGTCCTAACTGCATTTAACAAAATAAAGACTGGACAAAGTAATAGCCAGTCAAATTCAAACTTTGCAAAACGGATAAACAGCGTACGGTACAACAAACCTAATATTAAAACGCAACCGTACACAGTTGGAAAGTGCTAGCTTTCCTCTCGTAAACCGGCTCCAAGCTTCTTCCTATAAAGACGTCAAAGTATGTTAACTTTTATGTACAGGCAAAAACACGAAACATGTCTGCTTTTTTGGTTTTTCATGCTGAATTTGTCATATTTTGTTACTAGCTCTTACTGAGAGCTTTAATAAGGTTGTACTCGCAAGGTAAGGCCCAGCATTCTTGGCGGGGCATGCCAGTTTTCCTTTTCCGCTTTCTAGCCATCGATAAAACACGACAATTTCACGTAAGGATGTCTGATGAGAGAGAGCAGTTAATGCGTAAACAATGGGGCGTTTGCATGAAAATGGAGTGATTTTGATGTAGAATTTTTTCGAATCTCGCTTCCGCTTCACTCGGTTCGAACTTTTTGCCATGGTCCAAATGTCATTCCTAAAGTGCTTTGCTCTACGGATTTATATGTTTTTTTTTTACATTTCTAGTTACACTATTGACCCTGATCATAATTGGCAGCAGTAGGAGCTGTTACACTCGCAAGCAAGTCAGGTTGCTCTTTCGTCCTTCAGCAAATTTCTTCGTACCTTCTTCTAATCAGCGTAATTGATGTCAGTTCCAGTGATCAGCGCAATTTTCTAGAGCGCAAGGAAAAGAACGCTTACATGATGGTAAATCACAATTGGTGGCCTGCTTGAGAACAAAGTTGGCAGAAATAAGCGTTGTGAAAATAGTAATAGAGCAAATAATCAGCTAAAAAGAAACCATATAAACATATGACATATACAGGGAGTCCCAATAAATATGAACACTGTTTGATCGTTAATAACTCCCTTTTCACGTCTTCCGCCGAGTTTGAGGTAAAATTCTGTAGAGCGAGGTTCAATTTAGATTTTCGGTATGAAGCAAATCATCAATCGCTTCTCATTACTTGATTACGGTAGGAAATTCGGGAAGAATTCTAGGAAATTGAAAGCGTTTTTTGCCTAGAAGGAATACAAAATTAGCCAGAAAATCTTGTGATGGACTAATCGAAGTTGCTGATTCTAGATATAGAATTTGTACTTCACTGTAATGCTTCTTTCATAAGTTATTTCAGATTTAGGGTAACAAATGTTTTTCCAGTGTTTGTCAGAAGTGTGATTACACCACTGAGACAGCCAAAAAATTAATGAAATGTAGTGAAATCAGTCTGAACCAAACTTCGTTAATTTTCAGAACTTTTATCTGAGGGTTTTGGGAGAGCTTTGATGGCCAGCAGAGGCAAACCTTTTGCCAAATGAAACAATGTAGCTTTGTAGCTTGTTTTTTAAAATTTTAATTTATTTTCTGAAGTAACTAATTTTATATTCGGCCTATTCTAGCTGCGTAGAACCTGAAATGGTAAACAGTTTAGGTGCCATTCAAAGCAACTTTCTCTTCTTTCTAACAGTTATCTATTCCTGTCGAGACACGCGAGATTTTCAGGAAAGATTGCGGTTTTTCCCGAATTCACGAGTGCGTACTGACGTACCCCAAGTTTCAAAATCGTCATATTTTAAACGAAAATTGCTCCAGTTTAAGGGTTAGTAGTAGTTCAATCGAGTGTTGAAACCTTAATATTCTAAAGATTGCAAAGTTTGGTGCAATAACGCATGTTTTTTTCTCATCTCGTACTTTTGAAGAATTACTTATCAAAATTCTAAGAAGAGTAATTAAAAGGAAGAAAAGTTAGTAGTTAAGTAGTTAGTAACTAGCTTTAACTTTAGTCGGCTAACCTTCTGCCGACTAAAGCTAAATCTTTAGTCGGCACAAGGTTTGCCTTTCCTGATGGTCTCTCAGCCCAACCCTGAGGTAAAAATTCTAAAAATTATGGACTTGGTAAAGAAGGGCTGTAATTTCAGCAATTTTCAGCACTCAATGATTCATATTGGGGATACAGGAGATGGAAAGCGGAAGAAATTCTGCATCGGATACATTTTAATTGCTTGTTTATCTTTACTTCACGAGATTTGCTAGTCATTTCAAAACTGATCCATCGGGTATTACCAAATTCCTTTTTTCTGGTATAAAAGCTTTGAGAAGGGCAGACATTTTTGCTATGAAAGTTGGGTAGTTGAAGCAGGTTTTCTTGTATTGAAGATTTTCTTAATTCTTAGCATCATCGGCGTTAAAACGTTTGTGAAATTGAAAATGTTAAATGTTAAATGTTGTGAACTTAGATCGACGTGGACATAGTTTCCACTAAGGTCAAAAGTTTGAAAGAAAATTCGCTTTCTTACAGGAATCTGAATGTACGACTATATAGCCCTAACATCAGAAGGTGTCGAGTCAGGCTTGCACAGGTTCTTATGGTAAAAACATTGGCTAAAAGCCAAAATACTACTGTACTAGAAGAACTTTAAGGTGTAAGCAAATCCTTACATGTGGCAGGGTTACGCAATGTCAAAGAAGAAACCAG